ATTAATTTATACAAGGATTTAAGATTAAAATTTTATTCTAATCGTTGTAGATGATCTAGATCATCCATCAATATAAATCATGCCTAAATTAATTATGTGATTAGGAGATTAATTATGGTTTAATTATTCAATCAGATTATCCTAGACGATCTATATATCGTACCAGACAATACTTACCAACATACATGATTTTTCCTAAATTGTCCAAAATGAAATACCATATTTTTTTTCTAATCGTCCAGGACTCAACTGGTGATCCAGTAAAACTTTGGGCAATAGGTGGTGTCTTGGTGGAGCTCGAGGCCTCAAGTGGTGATTTAGCAAAGCAACAATGTTAGGCGAGGGTCTGACGGAGGTGAGGGGCTTAAGTGGTGGTTCGGCGGAGCAATGACATCATGCGGTGTTCTAGAAGAGATAAGGGGTTCAAGTGATAGTTTGACGGAGGTGAGGGCCTCAAGTGGTGGTTCGGTGATAGTCTGGGCCTTAGGTGGTGGCCCAGTGGAGCACAGCACCTCAAGTGGGGTCCAGCGAAGCAACAACGTAAAGTAGTGGTTTGGTACGTAGAGGCGAGGGCCTCAATTGGTGGTCGGGTAGAGCAATGACGTCAAGCGGTGGTCTGGTGGAGGTGAGGGTTTCAAATGGCGGTCCAATAGAGTAACAATATCAAGCAGTGGTCTTGCGGAGGTGAGGGCTTCAAGTAGTAGTCTGATGGAGCAATGATGTCAAGCAGTAGTCTGGCGGAGGTGAGGGCTTCAAGCGATGGTCCGGCGAAGCAACAACATCAGACGACAGTCCATAGGAGGTGAGGGCCTCAAGTGGTGGCCTAGTGGATCACATAGCCTCAAGTGGTGGTCCGATATAGCAACAACGTCAGGATGTAGTATGGCAGAGGTGAGGCCTCAAGTGGTGGTCTGGTGGAGCAACGACATCGGACTACTGGAGGTGAGGGCCTCAAGTGGTGGTCCGGTGGAGTAACAATATCAGGCAGTAGTCCAGTGGAGTTGAGGGCCTCAAGTGATGGTTTGGTAGAGATGAGAGCCTCAAGTGGTGGTCCAACAAAAGTTTGGGCCTTAGGTGGTGGTCTGGTGGAGCACAATGCCTCAAGTGGTTATCCAATGGAGCAACGACATCAGGCGGTTGTCCGATGGAGGTGAGGGCCTCAAGGGGTAGTCCGGTGGAGCAATGATGTCAGGCGGTGGTCTAGCGGAGGTGAGGGATTCAAGCGGTGGTCCGGCGGAGCAACGATGTCAGGCAATGGTCTAGCAGAGGTAAGGGATTCAAGAGGTGTTCCTGTAAAGAAACGATGTCAGATGGTGGTCCGATAGAGGTGAGGGCTTCAAGCAGTGGTTTGGCAATGCAACGATGTCAGGCGGTGGTCCGGCAAAGGTGAGGGCCTCAAGTGGTGGCTTGGTGAAGCACAGAGCCTCAAGTGGTGGTCCAATGGAGCAATGATGTTAGACAGTGGTCCGGCGGATATGAGGGCCTCATGTAATGGTCCGGCAGAGAAATGACATCAAGTGGTGGTCTGGCAGAGGTGAGGGCTTCAAGCAGTGGTACGGCGGAGCAACGACTTCAGACGGTGGCCCGACTGAGGTGAGGGCCTCAAGTGGTGGTCTGGTGGAGCACAGAGCCTAAAGTGGTGGTTCGGCAGAGCAACGACATCAGGCGGTGGTCAGTCGGAGGTGAAGGCCTCAAGTGGTGGTCCGGCGGAGCAAAAATGTCAGGCGGTGGTCCGGCGGAAGTCTGACGGTGGTTGAGGAGGAGCGTGGAGGCAAGAGCAATCTTAATCTCTCACTTTCTCTCTTTCTTGGAGCCCCATCCTTAAGAGAAAGGAGGGGTCTATTTATAGATTTCTGGAGTGGCATGCCTTGTAAATAGGTGATAGATCAAGGGTAAATGGGGAGTGGTTGCATGGAAGACCGATTTTGAACCCCTTGATCGTGGACCGTTTGATGGACATTTGAATGTTTTAGTGATGTCAGAATTCAGTGATTTTGGGCTCATTAGATTTGTCTCATCGAGTCAATCGATTCGACTATAAGCACGTTATGTTTGGAAACCATTTGATAATCCAAATTGTTGTTTGAACCCTCCAACAGCACTTCAGACCCTTGATTTGGACTCATTTGGGCTCAGATTGTGTCAAATCTTGTGTCGTTGGGTTCGTATTTCTGAGACGTTCAGTTCGACTATAAGTTTGCTGAAAATCATGTGGCAATATATTTTTCGACTGTAAGTTTGCTGATAATCCAAATTGTTGTTTGAAAATCATGTGGCAATATATTTTTTCACATTATCAAACAAATTTGATATCTTTAATACAACGGAGAAGTATTTCATTTGAAGAAAACCTACGTGAGTGGATATTTTAACATTTTCCAAGAGGCAATTTGGGAAAAATAGTAATAAACCACTGTTCTTTTTAATATATATATTTTTAGGAGACTTTAGGTTAACTTTAATAAGTTCATGTTAAAAAAATATTAACAATTATATGAACCATTCAACAAATTATGGACTCGCAATTCTCAATATTATATAATATTTTTTAAGTAACATAAAACTCCCTTTTATCATCTATTTTTCATTTCTTCCATAAAACTATGACGATACACAAGAATCCATGATTTAATAAAGAGAACTTTCACCTTTGGAGCCCATAGGCTCAACTAGTCTAGGTTTTAGCGGAAGAAGAATCTCCACATTAGAACCAAGGTCATTCCAAGGAAGAAGGGGCCTAAGATTGTCGTTCTTGGATAGGTGGTCGGAGTGGTGGAGGATGGCGGTCGTCCAAGGATGATCCAACGTCCCTTATTTGAATTTCAAATTAATCCAAGGAGGGAGAGAGGGGCGGCAATGGGGAGAAGAGTTGGGCTGAATTTGTGGAGTTATTAAGGTGATTAGGAGAGAGAGGGGGGGCCATCAAGGGGCCGGCCATGTAGGAGGTGAGGTGGCATGGAGGTTTTAAGTATGTGGAGACCACTAGTCTTAATTTCAGGATTTTAATAAAAGCTGAAATTAAAACTTCAGTTTTTAAATGGGAAGAGATTCCTAAATTAAAGTCATTCAAATAGATTGATTTCGAATTTCAAATTCGAAATTTAAAATCCAATTAAATTGAAGGCATGATTTAGGGAAGCAATTAATGGCTCATAACCATTTGAATTTCAATTTTGAAATTCAAAGGAGGGGAAAGAGGCGGCGGCAGGAAGGGGGGAAGGGAGCCGGCGGGCTAGTGGGCTGGCCGGCGGCTGGTGGGCTGGCCGGCGGGTTGGGCTGGTCGGTGGCTATTGGCCGGCGGTTGAGCTGCAGGCCGGCGGCCTGGGTATTCTAGGGAGGGGGCAGCGGCAAGAGCAGGGGAGGGGAGGTTGTGGGGAGAATTTTAGGGATCCAAAATTTGAAATTCCAACTTTCAAGAGGCTCCAATCCAAATCCACACAACAACGATGAGATCAAGAGCAATGAAAGAGAATACTAGAGCAAGAAAGAATCTAGAACTTACAAAGAGATCTAGCTTCTCCTACGAACTCACTAAGAGATCGTGGAGATTTGCACTCACAAAGAGAACATGAAGTGGCAACTTTTCATTCATCAAAACTAACTATTACATGAGAAAATGGCCTTATAAATAGGCTTCAAAATGACAAAAAACAAAAGACTAAAATGCCCCTGGGGCTACAATACTACCAAATACCCATGAGGGAAAAAACGGAAAAACATAGAATAAAAATAAACTACTACATAAAATGATGAAAATACAGATCATGATCGTGGCCGTCGATCTCCGGCATCTCCTGAAGGTACATGTGTTGAAATCGCTGCCGATGTCCCCATCAATTTTTTTTAATTATTTATATATTATTTATTTAGTTTTACTTAATTATTAATATTTTAAAGGGGATTTTTACATATATAACACCTAAAATTATTAAAAATGCATATTTAACACCTAAAATTCTATATTTACTAATATAGCACATAAAATTCCCTTTTCCTTCTATTCTACCATTCCATTGAAGTGATGAGATACTTGTATTCACTGGGAAAGGTTGATGTTGATAGAGATTTTTTATGGAAGCGACAACGGGAGCTTGCTTGTTGTGAAGGTAACTTTTTCCCTTTCCCATGCTTGTTCGGCCAAATCCCGTAAATCCGTCAAACCAAATGATTTCGTAAATTCGGGATTTACTAAAAAAATAGGGAATTTTCTATCAACCGTGGCTTTGTTTTACGGTGAGATTTGGTTTTGCATTTTTGACCGTTTGGTTGGATTTAGCTCAAATCCACTTCAAATCCGGCCTAAATCATGCATCCAAACAACCCCTAAGTGTTGATGCCATGATGCATTTACTATTCGAATCTTCCTTGGTTGAGTTGTCTTATCTTTAATTGAGAATGATGAGGCATTAAAGATGACCAGATATTTGTAAGTAACAGATGGTTCTCCCTTTTTTTTAATTAGGGCTTGAGCTGAGAGGATAGTGTGAACGCTTTTTCTACCCCCTATATATGTATTTATATATATATCCACATACATGCACACATACATGTGTATGATATACGTCTTGCTATCAAATTGTTCGTAACTTGAAAAAATATTGGATTGGTGTGGAAAATGAGGAGAGATATTTGCATGGTGAGACATATTTTTACAATTAGTGGGTGATAGTTATAGCTATCTTTTGTTTTCCTCATTAATGTAATCATTGAGATTTATTGAAAGAATTTTACTTGTAGGTGCCAACAAGTGTAATAACCGGTTCGGCCTTGCCGGTTCAGTCCAACCAGCCGAACCTATTATAAGGAACGGGCGGAACCTTTCGCGAAACAGAGACAGTTTTGCGTGGAACAGAGAGAGGAGCGGATGGCGACTTCGTGCGGGAGAGCGAGGTAAACTTCCTTTTTCTAATTTTAGCAAACGATTGTCTTCAAGGGTAAGAAATAACGATTCCTATTCATTCTTATCGTTAGCAGAGTGTTAAATTTGGAGAGATTTGAAGAACAAGAGAAACGAACGAGAAGGAAAAAAGGGAAGAAGGTTTGTTGAAATTATTTCTTCCTTTTCTTATAAATTTCGTAGATTTCTTCAGTTAAACGTGAATAATATCTTCACAGAGAATAAGGAAGAGATTGAAGCAAAGAAAAAGGAATTTGGGAGAGAAAGGATTTTGGGAATTTGAGAAGGTTTCAATTGTAATTGAATTTCTAAGATTGATTTTTATTAATATCTTGTCATTGAATCACAATTTTATCTTTATATGAAAAATCATTGTATGAATTTAGGTTCTAGAAAGTGAAAGATCAAGTCGTAAGTGTTGATCCCGCGAGGATTCAACAAGAAGAGAAATTGATTCAAGAGTAGATCAAGCATCGAAGACATAAAAAGTTCAAAGTCGGTAAATTAAATTATTTTAAGATTTTATTCATGTTGTAATCTTCTAAGTAACTGATAAAATTTTGTGTGATATCTTATGATTTTATGGCTTTAAGAACAAATTCATCCGCTATAAAAGTTTGAAAGTATATGATAATGAGAAAATAAAAGAGAAAATAGAAAAGAAAAGGGAAACAAAAGACTATATGCTTGGAAGTAAAACAGATGTAATATAACAAGGAAAAGGTATTGAAAAATCTTATAGGAGTTCACCCACTTATGGTACTGGCTGGGGATGCCGTACTCGTGCACGTAAAAAGGAAAAAAGAAATGAAAAATAGAAAAAGTAAAATGTAAAAGGTTGTACCTTTGGGTACATTAAGACGGTGCTCCTATATGAATTAAGTGGGAAAATGAAATATCAAGATGGTTTTAAATGTTTTAAAGCAAAATGATCGAATATGTATACAACAACAACAACATCAAGCCTTTATCCCACTACGTGGGGTCGACTACATGAATCCTTTTTCTCCATTGTGTCCTATTAAAAGTCAAATTCTCGTTTAAATCTAATAAAGAAAGGTCATTCCTAATATTTTCTAACCAAGTCTTTTTAGGTCTACCCCTACCTTTCTTAACATAAGTCAAATCTAATACCTCTACTCTCCTAACCGGGTCATCGCAAGGCCGCCGTTTTATGTGACCAAACCATCTAAGGCGACTTTCTCTAATCTTATCTTCTACTGGAGCTACTCCAACCTTTTCACGTATATGCTCATTTCATATCCTATCTCTAAGGGTAAAGCCACTCATCCACCTGAGCATCCTCATCTCTGCCACACTTAACTTAGTATTATGCTTCTCTTTTAAAGGACAACATTCGGCACCATAAAGCATTGCAGGCCTCACTACCATCTTATAGAATTTTCCCTTAAGTTTAAGGGGTACATTTCTATCACATAACAAGCCCGATGCATTCCTCCACTTCAACCATCCAACTTGAATTCTGCTGATAATATCCCCATCTATTTCACCATCACTCTGAACAATAGATCCAAGATATCTAAAACGTGTACTCAAAATGATCGAATATGTATAAATTACCGAAATAAATGGAATAAAGTTAAGAAATGGTTGAATACATATTGAAGATTATAAGAGTATTGTAAATAAGAATATTTATTTTAATTGTTCAAATATTTACCCATTGAGTTTACTTAGTAAACTCAACCCATGAGTTTAATGTTTCAAGGAAGTCTCCTAAGGAAAAGAAATGTCTGAAAGAGAAGTTTTTGTCTACAGAAGGCGGCGTGCAAATGACAACATGTAAATTATGATTTGTGTGTTAGTGGCTCTTCAGTTAATAGAAAAGTTTATGTTGATGAGTTATTATTATTTTGATGAAAATGTAATATCGTCCGACTTTCTTGTACCCGCCTCATTAAATCGAGCATCCAGGCCGGGTCGTCATAGTGCTCTGGGTAAGGTATACCCTATAAATAAATAAAGTATCTTGAGACTGTGTTGACGTCTCTTTAACTTGTTTCTCTACTGACTAAATAGATCAACTTTATAGTTTTATTACATTATTTTCCTTCATATTTAATGACTTATTTCTTATTATTGTTTAATTCAACCAATTCGAGTTAAGGTGATTCAACATACACTATTGGTGAAAACAATTCTCTATTCTACAACACGAAGATAACGACCATGATTTCTTCCATCTTTTTCTCTATTCTAATGATCTACTTGTCCTTCTAACTTACTTGATCTAGTAGACATTGAGTTAAGTTAAGTTTGGTGTAACATCTTCCTCAACTTTCACATCTAAATGACTTAAATTAAATATATACATTTAATAGAAAATACATTTAATTTTATGTGTTTTCCTCATTTCCTTTAGAATGAAACAAATTCATTTGTTCTCAAAACCTAGAACATGTTAGGTAATAATTTTAATGTAAGTTGAAGTTTCTAATTAACATAGCTTTTCAAAACATAAAGCAAATAATCAAACTTAAATAAATAAATTTCATTAGTAAATTATAAATTATTAAAATTAAAATTAATTCCTTCAAGTTTGCAATACATCAATTTATTTTATAGATAATTCAAACTTTAATTCATCTAGGACACAACCAAATCTCACAAATTAACACACATATAGCTAAATCATTTGATAAAACAACAAACTTTAGCCTTAGGTGAGGAGTGGTGTTTTGTTGTATTTTTGTTTAATTTTCCTACAATTTGTTGATTGTGAAGTGATGTTCTAGTGAATGTGTGATGATGTGAGTGTTAACTTATCGTGCACTATTTGATGTAGCTTGTGGATGATATTATATAAATAAAATGTTTGTATACTAATCCCTAGAGGTATAAAGTCTTTTTCTTTTACATTCAATTTCAAATGTATAATGACTTCTAAATGTATAGAGTTGTGAAAATCATAAATGAAGTTGTTTATTATAAAATAGAGAAGTCCTAAAGAATGAATATTCTTTAAAGATGATGTCTTTCAAAATTCTTTAGAAGTATAATCATAGCCTGGAGATCCTAAAAAATACTTGAAGATTTAAATAAAGAACTTCATTTTGTGTAGACTTGCATCATTTTAGGTATAGAAATTAAAATTTGTTAGAAGAGCTTGACTATCTTTACTTTTCTTAGACCTTGTTGTTGATTGCATATGATGTGCAAATTAAAAATTGCATGCTTTTCCTAAACTTATTAGCAATGCATGTGATTTTGCCATGCTAATTATATGACAGTTAGGGTTCTATGATGTTAATAATTTAAAACACCAACCTTTACTTTCGTGTGAGCATATCATGCACATTTGCTTTTTTGCTACAGGTACTAAACTCACACATGCTAGCGACAAGCCAGGGACAATCTAATGATGGGGTCAAGTTTGCTATTCATGTTGGTATACAGCTGTTATACTACTAGTTTTTTCTTAGAAAACTGGACATATATATCGCATTAGTTACATATAAAAATTCTAGAAGTTAGAGAAAACTTCATTTTTTATTGCATTAGTAAGGTGAATTTGAACCCCTAGCATTTTTCCCTAATTTAAATTCTACATTAAAAATCCCTCATAATTTAAAGAACAATAACTTGCCTATCATGTATTCCATTTATACCAGAATTTTTTTTTTAAAGCGCTTAGGTGGCTAACTAATAGTCCACTCTAGATGCACAATTTCTGCTCTTCCTTATGGAAGTAAAATCTCAGTTAAATAATTTGATCAACCTGAGCATAAATTTAATTTTATTCTAAAACATTATAGCCCAAGGGTAAATAAGTGGGAGTACTTTTGGGGTAAAGATTTTATCATTCATTGATCAACTACAATAGTGACCAAGTCCTATGATAAAACCATATATGCACAAATTGGAGTAGAGCAAGATAAATAACCCCAAAAGGTCCATAAGAGAGACAAAGCAGATAAATATCTTTTTTTTTCGATTTAAGTTTTATATTTTCTTGTGATTACTTAAAGAGTAAAGTTTGCGTAAAATTGGATTATGATTAAAAACAGACCATAACAATTCAATGAGAATGGTATGAAAGAATAGCAAAAATCAAGTACTACAAATTGAACTACATAAAAATTGCTAAAACAACAATTAGAACAAAGGCAAGAAAATGTGGAAAATGGATAGGAATAACGAAAAAAATCCAGCAACATAGAAATATCAGTCTTCTAAGCATTATAGGACATGATCAATTTCTTAGAAAACATGACAAAACTTCATAGAGACAAATATAAAACAAACACAAAGTTACTGTAGGAACATTTAATTAAGAACAATATGGTGGATAACCCAACCAGAATTAAGAGTCTAGAACAAGACACACAAAGTATAAAGTATGGTAATCCATTGATAGAAAAATAACTGAGCAGATCTTATGGCTTCAAATAAAACCAAAAACTTCTTAGCTTGATATCCACTCAAATTTTTAGAGAAAACTCCACTGAACAAAGCTTAATCTGACCCCAAAAAATGAAAAGAAACATAGCAAGATTGTCGGTTAAAACAAGAAAGGAAAGAATTTACACTCACAATGGAAGGTAGTCACAAAGAGGAGACACCTAAAAAACTAGAGCTAAAGTCCTCATCTCCTTCGCGGGAAGCAGCGATCACGAGAGATACAGAGCCATAGGCGAATCATGGGAACTGAAAACACACTCGAGAAAGTTTTTCTTTAAAGGTGATATGCAAGCTCGATACTTCAGTTGAGAAATCGATGTTGTCGTCAGAGATTGATCGGTGGATAAAGCTAGAAGTGGAGGTCTTGCGCATTAGGAGGTCTAGAAGGTGACCACCGTAGCGACGACGAGAGCTGGATTGGTGGCTGAAGCCATCAAAGCTATCCTTCGTGTGTTCGTGGTAAAATATTGAGGAACGAGAGAGTGTGTGATGGTACCTTTATTATTATACGATATTATTACAAAAATTTTCAAATTTTAAATTAATTATCACTTACTTACCTCTTACCGTACTGTAACTAATTTATATGATTTAAAGAGTTACGAAGTTAGTAGCTTTTTTTTTAATATTGATAAATTATTATAGGAAAATATTTTTAAAGTTGAAATAAAAAATTAGTTTAGAAATTTATTTATAATAGAAAATAATAGTCAAATATAAATTATGATTAAAAAATTAAAATAATAAAAAAGTTATCCCAAACAAATAAAAAACGATTTAAATTTAATTTTTAATAAAGTATATATATAAACTCGAATATTATATTTGAATTTCAAAGTAGCTAAATTTGCGACTTCAAAATATCATGTAATCACAAAATTCAACGCAAATCCAATAGCTTTGAAATAAAGGGTTTAAAGATACTTAGAGTGGTTTATCATGGTGAGAGAGGGAAAGAATATCATGTCTATTTATGTAATGGCCTACCCACTCACATGCATGAATTAATCATAGTACTCTCTATCTTTTATTCAATGAAATTCTAGAAATAATTATTCACTTTTAAGCAATTCCTTTTGGTAAATCATAAACTAAAATCTTTAATTGTATCATTATAAATTAATAATTATCTAGTCCCTAAAGCTCCTCATGAGATGTTATAAACTATAAGAGTTTGCATTTACAGGAAACTTAAAACACTAGCAAGAAAATAAATCCTATTTTAATTATCTAAAATAAGGGAAAACGTTTTTGGGATTATAGACAAGTTTTATTCAAATTTATTTTTATTTTCAAAATGATAGTTGACTGTCATTTCTGTCTTTCAAGATTATATGATATTCTTTATGATATATTTAATAACGAAAATTGGTACATCATTAAAAAATTATGTTGATCGGGCACGAATCTCAAAGCAAAATCAAGATTGGAAACTTAAAAATTTAAATTAGAGGCCATCTGAACA